AAAAAAGAAAAGAAGTTGAAATGGGAAGGAGAAAATTTCCACTAAAAGAAACAACTACATAAACAGATGAACAACAAGGATTACGATTTTGCACGAGCAATGAACTTCTTCTTGTCTGGTTTCCCAAGGGCATTGTTGTAATACCATACCAGCTTCACCTGCAAAGGAAAGAACAGGGTTTCACATTATTTAGAACAACATATATCAAACCAATTTCCTGCTTCCAAAAATCGACCAAGACCTGTGTATCATTTGCTTCTGATCCGCTATTGGTGAAGAAGACTTTAGCCATCTCATTTGCAGTGAACATATCAGAAAGTTCCTTAGCAAGATCCTACACTCAGAAGGAAGATCAGAATGAGAACATATTGAAGCCTCCTGTTAATGGACTTAAATCATCAAATTACCAAAGAGGGCTTTGTGGTTCGGTTCCAAAAGGAGTGGTAAAATGGCAATGTCTTTAGCTGTTGAGTTGCAGCCTCAACAAGGCGGGGCTCATTACCACCTGTCAAGAACCCAAGAGAACATAGGCAATCTTTTGATAAAATCGATTTGATAATTGCAGTATTAATTATACACATATACATAAAATAAAACTGCATAGTATACTATTGTAAGTCTTTCTCACATTAATAACATAAGAATCATTCCCAGTTAATTATTAAAACTAGGCAGACAACAAAGAAGTCTCACAAGGAAGATGATGGATTAAAAAACAGATAAATATTACTTAACAAAAAAAACATTATAAACATAGACATTTGTCCAATATTTAGTGGGATTAAGAATACCTAGGGCCGTGCACCATAAACCAGCAAGCGAATCAAGATACCTTTTTCCGTTGGCATCATATACATAGGAGCCCTGAAACAAAAAAACAAATGTGAATAATTAATTAAGGTAGAATTATATAAAGAAGTTTGAAATGCTGATATCAAGCTTCATACGTACCTCTGACTTCTCAATTACAAGGGGATTCAAATCTGTAGTCTGCCATCCAGCTGTAAAGGGTGCCAGCATATCATGTCCCTTGAAGCTACGAACATTAATCGTTAATGTAAAATCAGAGGAATCAGGTCATTTCTTGATATGAACAGAAATTGAGAAGAATATTGGTGTGGTTATCCGTGAGGTTACTATGCCTAATTATAAAAAGTTTTATTTATCTTTTCAACATTATGAATGCCTCCTTAAAGTGACACGAATAAGCCATTTGGTGCTTGTATTGAGCCAAACACATACCAGCCTGAGAGTATGAGATTAATTGAAAAAAAAAAAAAAAAAAAACCATTGCCAACTAGACCCTTTTTTTTTATCAGTCAACTCTGCAGGGGTACGGTTTTTTAATTAAATGTTGTGTATATGTAAGTCACGCAGAGAGATCAAATGCAGTAGGAATCAAAGGGAAGTACCCTTTGTCTTCATTTGACAAATCATCCTTTTGCAAAGATGCCTGTGTACCATACGCTTTCGCAAGAGTGGGAACCTGGTCCAAAATTTTTTTCAAACTATTTCCTGCTGAAATATCCTTTAAATGGTAACCAGCCTGTAGAATTGAAAGTTTGGCATGAGAGACTAAAATTTAGAACCAACAGAGTGGAAGAACATTGAAACGTTAATCAGTAAAAGGGATTCAAAGTTTGCTGCACCATAGTGCTTCCTCATTCATTTGTCAAACTTATCAAACTGAAAACTTCACCAACAAAAGGAGAACAGCAAAAAGAGTGGTTGAACGAGATGCAAATAGGCTGTCTACATCATTTCCGAAGTCATTCCAAGATCTAAAATAAGGAACATTCATATTCATATTCTTTTCTTTTTCCATTTTAACAAAGTTGGCATCTTTTAAGCAGAAAAGCCTCTGATATTCAAAAGGGATCACCGGTATCTTTGATTTCCATAGAGGTTTCAAAAGCTTTGTGAAAGAATTAAACAGAAAACAGCACAAGGGAACTCAAACATGTAAAAGAACAGAAGAACAGTACTCGAGAAAAGTAAGCGACTTATTACATCGATACTGAAAATCAAACATGACACATTTACTCTCTTTGTCAACACGGTGGTTTCCAGTGAGCCATTTTATCAAGTATAGCTAAACATTGGTGAATCAAAATGTGGTCGATTAAGTAACGCTACGTATGGAATTTTGTTTTCATGGCCCTGTTTAGTGATATTGAATCCGCTTTCAGTTCTCTTTCTACAGTAAGATGATTTTGTGAACAATGCCATTTATCTTTTTTCAAATATGACTCAACAAATTTTTAGTTTCACTTTCACCATAAGAAATTGGAATGAAGCAACTTCCACAAAAGGCCGAAGACTTTCAAGTCAATACCAGGATTTGATTTTCCTCCTTTACTCCCTTCTCAAGAGCAAGACATAATATAGTTGAACACACACACACACACACACACACACACACACACACACCCCACGAGAATCAAACCATAGAATTCGGAACAAAGATTCCACCTTTTTCTCCCCCAAAGAACCTATCATTAAAAAAACCCAAACCCCTTTCTGAAAAATAAACAAATTACAAACCTAAGCACAAATAAACCAAAAAAGATGCAATCCCATAAATAATTACTCATGAAAACTCCACACCTCAGTTATTACAGAAAGAAAACAAAGACCAACACAGAAACATAACAATTTGGGTTCTCATAGATTAGGAAACACAGACACCAAAGTTCGAGGAATTTAGAACAGAAACTGAAGTGGAAATCGAACCTGGCTGGCATTTTTTAGACTCGATTGAAGATAACGTAGGCGATGCATAATTGTATTTTTCTTCACTTGGGTTCTGTTGAAACAATCAAACGATGAAAGTATGATGCTTGTTACAGATTGTTTATATAAAGGACAAAAATCATGCGGAGGAAAATGAAAAAAAAATAAAAATAAAAATATAAAAATAAAGATTGTGGTTGGCGGTGTGTGTGTGACACAAATTGCAGAGTTGATGAGACGTTCTTTAACGAAGGCGATAATATAGACAATCATGTCCACGTCATAATTCATTATCTAGTTTTTAACATTTTTTATAATTTGTCAAATGCAATGATTATCATATTTTATTGACTTAATTAGTATTGTTTCAACTTTACATCTTTATATATATTAATTAAAAGTAAATCTATTTACCAAAAACAGTAGCAAAGAAAAGTCAACACACATTAATGCATACTTTATTTAGAAATTTTTTACTATATGCATTAAATGCTTGCATATTTATATTTACTATCCAAATATGATCTTCAATATTTTTTCCTTAAATAATTTATGCAATGATTTTACTGATATCCATTATAGTTAATATTTGTCGAGTAATATTTTTTAACCTTTATTTAATTATATAACACTAATAATTTTTTTAAAAAAATTAATATTATTTATTATTTAAAAGATAATGATCACATCATTAAATGATTTTATTGATGGTTAGATAATAAAATTATAGTTATTCTTTAAAATTTCGACATGTTATTTATTTGTATGTTATTGTCAACTATGATAGTGTTTTTATCACTTTTTTTTGTTATGTTTCAAAAATGAAGTTATTGTAAAATATTTTTCTATTGCATAGTATGTTAAATAAACTATAAAGTCTTATGATGAAAATTAGAAAATATCTCTTGATTATGTAAGGGATTTATTTTTTGGCAATTGCTAAATTATTTTTTTTTTTAAAAAAAAAGAATTATTATGAGAAAATTGAATTCTAAAAAACATGTGTGTGTATTTTGTAAACATTTATACTCAAAATTTTATTTTGAATTTCATTACATAAAGAAGACTACTTCTATAACTTTTATAAATAATAATAATTACATTATATGACTGTAAATTTTATAATAAAATAATAATTGAGTATTATATGGTGAACAATAATTAATAAAATTTTTATTTTTTCCTATATCAATGAATAAATATGTATTCTAAAATCAAATAAATATTAGTATGACGTATTAGCGGAATTATATATTAATTAACATGTTAATTTTTTGGTTTAGATAAACGCCACTTATTAAAAGATGTAAAATATGGATGATCCAAGCCTATTGTTTTTTTGTCTAGACGTACAAGTCCTATAGAAATAATTGCTTTATTATATGTATCACGTGCATCACACGGGGTATGCATTAATAAATAACCTTAAAATTGTGCACCCCGTGCATCACCCGTGTTCACATTTTGGCCTATTACAGATCATGTACTATATATATCCCGTACATTTTTTTTATTCATTTATATAATTATAAGAATGGATAAATGACCTTAAATCGTGCACCTCGTGCATCGCACGGGCTTTGTACTAGTTAGCTTTGATAATCGGCATAACAATTAACAAATTACACAAACCATTCTTGTGTGAGCCCTTTTCAATCATTAGCGAAACCGAATTTTGTTTTTATAAAAATACATATTTATATTATAAATTAACATATTTTATTTTTATTATTTTGTTGAGCACGATGTTTTTAGCTTAATAGTGTACAATATCACGTTGAAAAGTATAATTGTATTTTCGTTAAGCATGTATGAAATTATATTTATTGTGAACTATATACACTTTCTCGCAGATTCAATCCTACCTTATGGAATAGTGCCCCATAGGTTTTAGCCACACAATCATACACACAATTCACATGAGTGTGTGCGAAATATGTGGCTAAAAATCCCATGAAGGCACTATTCATGGGATAGGATCGAATTTATGGCACTTTCTTTGCATTTGGACTTTTCGATGTCAAATAAGATTCATTAGCTAGAGATTTGGCAATTTTGTTAAATAAAAAAAATGATTGACTATTGTGTTCAGAAATTCTATGGCAACACATGTGACACCATATTATGGTGCCACGTGTGGTGCCATAAAATTTCTGCTATTGTGTAAACTGAATGAATAACTACATTATCATGATTGACATTGGCAATAAGATTAGTTGGAAAAAAAGGGCAAAATACATGCAGTTTCTAGAGATAATTACTCAAGCCACGACACAATCTTCTTTTTAATTGGACTCTTA